ATGACTCTGGTTTGGTCTTCTGTAACAGTCCCAGCGCCGGGAGGACTTTAAAGACAGAACCAGTCCACTGGGCCAGACGGCAGCTCAGACGTCTAGTGGCTAAGGCGGCGCGGGCTAACAGTGACTGGAGGATTTTCCTGTGCGATATTCTGACATCTTGACAACATCCTACGGAGCCGACGCGTCTTAAAATAAATGTAAAATTCCAGAAAGGCTTTTTTTTTAGACAGCCCTTTAGCATAATGCTAACTTAACAAAAGAAGTTTGGAAGATCGTAAAGTTCCAACCATACCACACAGAGGGATTATTTTTGCTCAGTGGCGACCCCTAGCACGCCCGTGTCATAACGCTTTGGTTGATTGGAATTTTTTTTATTCATGTTTGAAATACAGTTGGTTGGATTTTTTTTATTCATGTTTGAAATACAGTGGGGCTTGATGTTTAGATGGGGGGGGTCATTTAATTAATTAACAGTATATTTCTGGGGGGCTGGAATTAATTAATTGGTTTTTAGTTTTTTTTTAATGGAGTAAATGCAATCGAGATACGATCGCTGTTGTGGAACGGATTAGACTGGTATCTTAAATCCCCACAGTATAAACGTCCATTTTAGTGACTAGTACAGTTAATAAGTAAACAAATAACTTAACAGTTAGTCCAGTCTGTTTTCTCTGAATAAACCATGAAGGCTCAGACTCGTCACTCTCCACGCTCCAAACGTTCTTTCCTTCCTCCTGATCTCCTTTCTCGTCTTCGTGTTCTTACTTGTTCCTTACCACTCCTTTCTGCCTTTGTTCTGCTCGGAAAAACACACGGCGTTAATTTGCTTCCACTCGCTCCGACATCAAACGCGAGGAAACAGAGAAACGTTCTCCGAGACTTGAGCCTAATTATGTTTACGACCCCGTGCTGCAGGAACTTCCCTCCACGTCTGAGCTGAACCCAGTCTGGAACGAGGGTTTTTTTAAACGTCCTCCTCCTTCATTAGGGCCTGAGCAGCGATGTACTCAAGACTTCCTTCCCCGCGTTCTCCCAGGAAACAAATCCGACAGTTGAGTTTGTTTTCTGGAGGCCGTTCCTCAGAGAATTACAGCTGATTTATCCCCAGAAAAAAAACAAAAAACAAAAACAAAACAAAAAAACAACTCCAACGTTGCCACCACTGACAGGGAAGTCAAACGCAATTGGCATCACTGACCAGGAATAATGAGACGTCCACTGGGAGCAGCACTGAGTCCTAAAAATGATGACTCCACACTTTTGACGACGGAGACGTTTACTAACGGTAACTTTAACAGGTCATTAACAGTATTAATTAGGGAGGTTTGATATGAACTTTTTGCCGATATCTGCTACGCCGATATTGTCCAAACACCTAATTCCTCCGAATTGAAATATTATTCAGCCCCATGTAATATTTATTTATTTATCTGTTCAAACCACTGTATGAGTTGCTGACACCAACATTCTACATACAATCACATGATTATTAAAATGGATTAATAAAATGAGCTGCAATGCTGCCATCTAGTGGCTTCCACTTTAAAATACAGCTGTTTTTCCCCCAAAGTATTTTTAGGGCACAGATCATTTGGTGAAACCCAGGCATTGCGTTATTGGATTTTCACATACAATAATGATTCTTACAGGTATTACATAATTATGCTAATATTACTAAGCATTCTGGGTATTTTAGTCGATTGAATAAAGTTTACGTTTTAATCAGGCGGAATTTTGGTGACGTTTAAAAAAATGGAAAATCTTCAAATCCTGTTTCTGAATCAGCTCCAGTTCAGAGACACAGGAGGCCAGAATTAAAGTGTGAATTAAAGAACCTCCGTCAGGACGGGAGCCAATGTTGAGCCACACTGGGCAGAAACCATCAGCCTCCTGTTTGGTTCACAGCTTTACTGTTCGTCACTCAGTCTGTTCCTGACAGTGTGGATCCACAAGCTCCGCTAAACTCCGTCTGCTTTCTGTCTGCGCGTCGAACAGCGTGACGGCGATCAGCAGATGGACGATGAGTCACGGGGGGGCGGGCGGGGGGGGGGGGGGGGGGGGGGGGGGGGGGAATTCCACCACTCTGTCCATCATCGCAGTCGTTGATGTCTAAACCGGCAAAGTACATGACTTTTAATCGCAAATACATGAGGCCACCGGGTGGCGTTATAAAAATATGACCCAAAATGGGATTTAAACCCATGTCTTCATGGGAGACCTGAAGAAAAAAACATGGTGTTCCAAGTCCTATATCGCTATGTCGGTATCGGTTGATATCGGAAATGGAAATTAAGTGTTAGCTCTGGATCTTAGAATAATTCTTTAAGAATAGTTACTGTCTAACAATCCGGGGTTTTTTTTTTGGTTTTTGTTTGGGTTTTTTTTTATATGAAAATCCGATATCTGTTTCGCTAAATATGCTTGAATCGCTTGTAGGATCCTGAGACGTTTACTCTACAGTTTTGGGGGCTAACGGCTGCATATATCGGTATTGGTTGATATCGGAATCGTAAATTAAGTGTTTGGACGATATCGGCGTATCAGACATTGGCAAAAAGTTGATATGGAACAAATAATAAATAACAATAAAAAAACAATCTATAAGACAAAGAGGTTGTGTTTACTGCCTGTATGAAAATACCAAAAACAGGAATTAAAAAAAAACCCAACGTGGTTCCACGTGGACTGGGTTCTAACGAGGAGCTGCTGGTAAACTGACAGGAAACAAAAACTATCGACGTGTTTTATCAGTGACACAGAAAAAAGCCCACGACTTATCGACTGTTATATGACATTTAAATGTGAAAATCAATGAGGCGTTCAGGGAGCAGGGATTCAGGGAAATCGTTTTTGTTCTTTGGAAAAGGTCAATGTAATTTAGGAGCGGCCAATTTTAGACCAATCAGCATCAACCAAAATAAAATAAATGATCTTGGTTGTTGCTGCTGGTTGTTGACATGAGCTACAAACCAGAGTCACGGCTGGACGTGTGATTTCCTGTTTTTCCCTTTGTTTTTATATAAATATAAAGTACATTAGATAAATGTTCATATTTATTTGAAATATAATTTTACAAAACATTTGCTGAACTTCAAGTGTATTTTAATATTAATATTGATTTATTTTGAAATTTCATCCAGTGGACCAGTTTTGGCCCATGGGCCAGATGTTTGACATCCCTGCTCTATACTGGTGTAACATAAACTATTTTATTTATTTGCGATGTTGACTGGAGTAACCTAAACTATTTTATTTATTTGCGATGTTGCCATTTTTGAGCATTTTGGGCTAATTTTTTTTTTTTTAGCCGTCATAATTTTAGACAAATATTGACTCGTGATATTGACTTGTGAACATCCTGTGGTTTGAAGAAGGCTAACGGTCGAGAGGAAGTCATTTAATTCTGGACTAGTAGTGAATTCATGGTGAGCTGGAGTTCATTCAGTCTGGGCCACGTTTTATTTCCTGTAACTGCAGATTCAGTCAAAGGAAAAAAAAAAAAAAAAAAAAAAAGTTCAATTAAAATCCAGAACTGGACTGTTTGTTTTTTAACTCATAAAGACATGAGTGTACGGGGGCGGCGGCGGCGGCGGCTAATTTGACCGCGGCGTGTTCGAGGCCGTGCTCCGAGTGCAGAGAATGAAATCAGCTCAGTGAAATGATGCAAACGTTCTCAGAGGCGCAGCACGGCGGCTTTGAGGCGGAGAAGAAAAGAAAGAACAATCAGGAAGAAAAAAAACCCCAGTGTATGATGATGCTAATCCAGCAGAACGCTGCTCACCGACGCATGCGTTTGCATAATGGATACATACGAAGGCACGCGGTGAAGGTGGAAGAAGACGCCCGAGAACCTGTGACACGGGCCTCGGCCAATTAGAGCTGGGCTCCCGGCCTGTGGTCAGCTGCTCTCCGTGGTTTTATTCACTTTCTCTCCCCTCTACCCTTTCAGGCTCCGCCACCTCCCGTCTCCCCCCTCTGTCAATCTCCCCCTGCCTTCCTCTTCTCCTTTCTTCTGAACCCCTCTCTGCTGTTAGCGTCTCCCTCTTCTCTCTCTCTCCCTCATTAGAACGCTTCCCCGCTCTGCTCCCAGGAGAGTCAGGAGGATAAAAATAGATTTTCTCCAGTTTCTACTCCACTGCTGCTCTTTCTCCCTTCTTTCCTTCCTTCTTTCCTCCTTCTTTCCTTCCTTCATCAAACATCTGCAGTGGTTCTACACGATCCTCCTCCACTCGCTTCTTACTCTTACTTTTTATGTCCAACAGCTTCTCTCTGGGCTGGGCTAACTTTTAGCCAGCTGAGGCTAACTTTTAGCATAACATTTAGCTCTTTCCAAAGATTCCTCGTTCAGTTCCACCTTGTGTCAAACCCCAGGTCGAGGGAAGACCTTCATCATACGAACTATTACAGGCTGTATTTCTAACTGTCTTTCAAACCTTTAGCTATCGTTTGTTCACTATGTTCAGGCTAACTTTTAGCTCATTTCAGATCCGTTAAAACTTTTTCAAACTGTTTCCTCATTTGTCAAAAAACAGGGAAAAAGACGGAGAGACAAAGAGCTGCAGAGAAGATGGAGAGTTTGGCTGCTAACAAACAGCTAACGGCTAGCTGACACAGATACAGGCTGCTCACTTTGACAACACTTTCATGTCACAAACAGCTAAAAATACAGCAGCAGCAGCAGCAGCAGCTCTGACAGATGACAGACAGAGAACATCCATCTGTTGTTTCAGCCTCAGCTGCAGAGACGACAAATCTCTCTTCTGTGTTCAGTTAAAAATAAAAAAAAATAAAAAAAACCCACCCGTCGCTGCCACAGCTGCTCATTAACTGGATTTAAATCCAGTGAATAGAGTAAAAAGTGTCAGTGTTTATTTGTTCAGTCAGTTCCAGCGTCAGGTCACTGCGACACTGACCAGAACCACAACAACATGGTTCACACCTGTGTTTCCTAACAGCCTGTTACTGTGACACCCAGGTGGAAGTAGGTCGGCTGTACTCACCGTCTTTGTCAGCTCTTCTGAAGATCTGTGGAGAGAGAGAGAGACAGAGACAGAGAGAGAGAGAGAGAGACATGTTAGAACAGTACCAGGTCTGTAGACCATCTGTTGACAAACATAAGGTTTGTGTTGTATCCTCACAGTTTATAGTCCAGTCCATATATATATATATATGTATATATATATATGTATATGTATATATATATATATATATATATACATATATATATATATAATATATATATATATATATATATATATATATATATATATATATATATATATATATATATATATATATATATAGATCATGGACATATATCTATATTCAATCTCTATGTATGTCTTCATATATATTTATATATATATATATATAATGGACATATATTTATATAACTATATACATATATGTATTTATATATAATTATATTATTATTTTTTTAGATCCAGGTCTTTTTTTTTTAAGTAAATTACTTGACCTATTGACCCCAAACCTTTAGATACAAAAATTTTTGGTAATTTTGGGGGTTTTTTGGAAAAAAAACCTGATCATCAAATTTTAGGTCTGATGGAATTGTCTTGGTATAATATGATATAATAAGATACGATGCAATATGACACAGTACGATATGATACGATGCGATACGACGCAGTACGATACAAACAGGTACAGTGCAGCACCGTATGTGATGACACCATACGTTACGATACTTCTTCATACTTCATCTCCGTCGTACCACTTCGTGCTCACATTATAAATAAAACCCTGACGACATCAAAGGCAGATTTTATCTGCTTTAATCTTGACTTCCTGCCTTCACCGACTCACAAACAAATACAAGCTACTGATCTGCGGCTGATCAGTAATTACCTCCGTGCACGTGCGCACACACACTCACACACACTCACACACACACACACTGCTGCCAAGAGAATAAGAGCTCCAGTGGAAACTTGTCTGTGTGAAATTGAAAGAGGAAAATTCAGCTCCACGAGTTTTCACTGATGAGGAAAAAAAAACAAGAGAATAAGAACGACAAGAAGGAGGAAACAGGAGCTGAGAGAGGTAAACCACTAGGAGTCGCCGCAAGCCTCATCGTCCAATCATCTGCCTCCATGTCGAGCCAACATCCTGCCTCAGAGCTCAGTGGCCCACCTGGGTCACATCAGTCCATAAATGGTCCAATAAAAAGACCAACGAAGTCGGAACTCTGCCGCAGCTACGTAGAAACAGATGAAGAAGAAGAAGAAGAAGAAGAAGAAGAAGAAGAAGAAGAAGAGCAGCAGCTGTGGAGCCCACGTGGGATGATTTAAAGTCAGAGTGTTGAAGTCAAGTGCTGGAGGAACTTTGGGTGTTTTTTTTTTTTTTTTTCTCTCTCCTGCTTTTTTGGTGCCAACAAACTTTTAATGTCTGTGAAGGACGGAGAATTTTTTTTTTTCGGCAGAACTCCTTCAGGGGACGAAGAAGAAGAAAAAGCTTTGGAACGGAGCATCATTTCAACGCCGGCCAATGATGTAGAGAGGACGTGAGAGTGAGTGAAGTGGACGGACTGTCTGTGAGGAGACACGCCCGGCTCACCACGTGTATGCAACGGCAGCCGGCTACCAGGAGAGGGCGCTCACGGAACGAACCGAAATTGGGAACTTAAATTGGATTTCAGTCGTTAAAGAGTACAGTACAGTACAGTACGGTACAGTATAGAACAGTACAGTACAGTACAGTACAGTACAGTACAGTACAGTACGGTGTGTGATATGACTTAAGTCATTTGAGGTTCTAGGGTCAAGTGGGTCACCACAGACAGAAGGTCCACATGGGCCACGTTATATGGGTTATGGCCAACGCTGCGTTAACCAGAGCCCAATCCTCTGGTTCCATATTTGTTTTCAGAGCTGTTCTGTTCTGTTCTGTTCTGTTCTGTTCTGTTCTGTTCTGTTCTGTTCAGCCCAGTGTGTCGTCAACTATAAATAAGTGGTGAGTTTCTGCAGCGACAGCGACGTCTGAACAGAACCAGCAGGAAAATCATTAAACACCGAGACCAGGAGGCTCTTCTACACTGACAGGCTGTTCAGCTACACACACACACACATACTGTAAGTGTGTGTGTGTGTGTGTGTGTGTTCACCCATTGTCTCTAACTCTTTCTGGTCTCCTGGGGATCTGGACCTGGTTCTGACGAGACAGATCTGGGATTAAAATCTGGATTGAGGGAAAGATTCACTACAATAATACAGTACAAGAAGAACCAAAAACCAGGTGTACCAAAAATAGGCTGCATCAAAAATAGGCTGCATCAAATATAGGCTGGCCCCCCCCCCCCCCCCCCCCCCCCCCCCCCCCAGTACCACCTTCCAGTCAGACTCTCTCTACTCAGGACCTGACAATAACCAGTGAATCTGTCTGGATGAGGAGGATAAATCT